TCTACAATGTACCAATAAGCCGATACACCCACAGGAATCATCTGATCACACAAAATGACCGATCTCATCATACACCAGTACCAGCGACACCGACAATGCATCCATTACAGAGAGCCCTATTAACATAACAACAACACCGAAGGAAAAGCAAAACCATCAAACTAATAATAGTATCCTCACAACAAAGCTATTAGAATCCCAAACCATCGGTAAAAAAGCAAACGTAGAAGTAACACACAATACACCACCTACACCAATTTATAACACTACAATAATCAAACCTACCATCGAAAAACCCAAGACAAATCCTCAACCCGCTACCAAAAAAATTAAACGCTCAAACTCCATAGAACAAATAGTAGCTAAACTTGACGAAACACTAGCCCCAGCTAAAACTGCCTTTGAAGGAATTTCCAACCCAAAAATAGACTTCCCTCAGCTCAAGTACATTATTGAAAACTCCCTCAGCGTGGATGATCCTTCCAATCTATTAAACCAATTTAACATAACGCCGATGGAAATGATTGAAATATTAGACACGAACCGGCCAAAAATAAAAATCGTTAGCATTAAAAACAGGCTCACGAGATTATGCAACTTGCTGCTTGAGTCACTCTGAAGACGCAATAGCTTTTTAATATAATGAAATCAAATAATTCTTCAAAAAAAAAAATCACCATTTATAAACACTTAAATGCAGACACAGCCAAAAAACATTATTCAATGGAACCTCCTCAATGGTCTCCATAAAAATATCGATGAAATTAAACTTATAATAAACTTACATCAACCTATCGCAATATGTCTTCAAGAAACTAATCTCAAATCTGACGAATCTCCGCCTAATATAAACAACTACCAATATGCATTTAAAAACCGTAGCGGCTGTCTGAGGGCAAGTGGYGGTGTTTGCACACTCATTAATAGCTCATTCCCTTGGGAGGAAATCCCTATCAATTCAAACATAGAAGCTGTAGCAATATCAATCACACTTGAAACAAAAACCACCATCTGTAGTAATATCTACATTCCAAATCAATTCAATTTTACACTTATTGATTTAGAGAATATTATCAAACAATTACCACATCATTGTAAAATCAATACATTCATCACTTCGTTCAGAATCTAAAACGAGTAGTTAATATATGGTATTATATAATATATTAGTATATTACCTGAGTAATTTACGAAATAAACGTAATATAAAAAWKTTCACTTTATCTAATAGGTATGGGTATAGTGGATAGTGTACCTACACCTTACTTATCTATCTATCTTACAAGCCTGTACGAACATAATTTAAGTATTCGGTTTCGTCGACTTCCTCCTCAATACCATCCTCCAACGTGGAATGTGCACGAAAGTACCTTACTAGTGCAACAAGGATTTAGGATACCAACGTTTAAAAATTTTATACCCATTAATAAATCGACAAACATCACTGAGCTGGAAGTGCTCATTAGTCATTACTACTATACAAACAAATCATTCGTCCTCTATTACTATACGCTGTCCCTGTCTGGGRTCAAWGTRCACYYACCCACATAAATAAAATCCAAGTTTTACAATCCAAAGTCCTCCGTGTGATTTCAAATGCCCCTTGGTTTGTGCGAAACGATGCCCTGCACACCGACTTCAATTTA